AGAAGACATCTTGTTCAAGGGAGAAAGGAGTAATTTCACAAATAAGAGTACTTAAACTATAGTTCCTATAAAGTCTTGAATGCTTGTTGTTCACACCTACTCCAAGCAAGCACAGTTCACTTGATTTCCTCCTTGGAGGACCTCAGACTTCAATACTATTGTCTTAGTTCCACAAGTCTGTTGAAAGTGTCAATTTAGTCCTCAACCATGCCTATCTCAACTGGCAAAGATCCACACAAATAACTGACTTTTCTTACCAGGCTTACCTGTCAGGATCATCTTCCCTTAATTCCTGGTCAGATAACTTACTCTTGTGTTTGTTCTCTGATGCCTTCAACTAAGATTTTTTAAAATTCAGCTTTTCTAATTGTCTTAAGTAGGCCTGCTGTTCATGGAAGCAGAAGTTCAGTAAGCCACTTTCCATGGATCTGAAAGTTCTTGATGTTACAGTGATGTTAATGATTCCTCAAAGAAGAGCTGCTGTTCTTGAACATAAAGGAATACAGCTGAGGGCCTTAATGCCCCATCCCTGCCAATCATCATCACCATAGCAACAACTAACATTTGTTTTATAGTCAAAATTTATAAAGAAGTTTCATATGTGTTTAATACAATGACATTTTAAGATAGCTATTATTATCTCTACTTTGCAGAGCAGGAAATGGTATCCCATGGAGGGTAAGTGATTTTTGTAAGATTACCCAGTAGGTAGCAGGACTATCACACAAGTAAGTGCATTTTTCTTCTTGGGTCAAAGAGTCAATAGTTCAATGGAGGCAGAAATAAGCACAGACCAAAAATGCACATATAAACATATATATAGTCAACTAGTTATGGTATGTGCCATATGTAACTACCAAGGAATTAGACTGGTTTCCATAAGTCACACACAAAACTGGCCTCATTATTTTGTAGTCGCACCTTGACACATGTATACCCAAGGAAAGAGCAGCATATTAGAGGATATATGCTGAAAAGGCCTCTTTACATGGTGAGTTTTGAGGTGGATTTGAGCAGTGGAGGAAGAATGCAATCCTTGATGTGAGTGGGAAATATGTTTCAGAGAAAGAAACAAAAAAAATAGAGATGGGAATTTCTACTTTGTCCATCACTGTCGAAGACTTTCATTATAGTTCTCAAAAGAACATATGAACACATTAAATCAACAGTTAAGACACCAAAAAGCACAAAAGTGCCTGCCACAAAACATAGAGTTTTTGACAGAAGAAGTTCTAATTACTTTCTCCATTCCACTAAAACGTTCCAAAAATGCATAGAAACTTATGTTGAACAAGGAAAATGAGGAAAGTAGCATCTCCTTAGAGTTGCAGAGAGGAATATGTGAGATAGTCTACATGACAGCTCTTTCTAAATTATAAATACTGTGGAAAGGCAATTGATGGTCTCTAACATAACATTGTAAGGTGTCACTGAATTTTCTGTTGTGATCTTAAAAAGTTATATTACTTGTTCTGTGGCATTATATCCACTGTGCAAAAGAGAAATAATCTGTGAGCTCTTCTAAAATTTGATAAATTCTTTGAAAGTTTCAAAATAGCATTGACTTCATAATCTTTTGTTTTTTGGTCATGTAATGGGGTTTTGAAATCAGGGCTTTGTGCTTGCTAGACAGGATATCTTCCACTTAAGCCATACCTCCAGTCCTTTTTGCTCTGGTTATTTTGAAAATAGGGTCTTGCTTTTTGCCCAGGCCAGCCTGGACTGTAATCCCCCTGATCCCAGTCTCCCAAGTAACTAGAATTACATGTGTAAACCACCAGTACCCTGCTTGAATTCATAATCTTTAAAAGAAAAATGAGGCACCAAAAATAATCTCAGGTGAATTTGTCCATATATGTGACAATAGCAATTTATGATGACATTTGCACTAATTTCTCAAGTGAATTGCTGGTTCTTGAGGGAATTGATTTGCTTTCCTATGAAACTCCCCTGTTATACCACATTTCCACCTATACCACCAGCACTGAGAGGCAAATGTGCCAGAGCCTTGGGGTTTGTGCCCTGCTGCCATCATGGATCAATAACTGGCACCTGTTCCCCTCCCCGCTCTGCCACCACCAAGGTGGCCCCTTCTACTTTCACACAGCCTTTTTTTAAATCACACCTTCTCCTCTCTGGGCTTCTCTGTACTGTTCATTAATTTTATAATAAAATGTTAAGAGATGAGAGCATGGTGTCAGTTTTTTTTAGCTGTGTTCTCCCATTACCAACTCCCTATACTTTAGCGCCCTTGGCCAGAGCAAAGCTGTCTTTAATAAGACCTGAACGTTTTCTAATAGATAATACTCAGATTGGACATGTTTAAATAAACTGTGAATACCCACTCACTGCAGAAGGATGAAAATCAGTGCTGCATGTCTGTATGTATCACATTACATATCAGGACAACCCCACTGGGGAGTAAGTCAGGTCAGGTTGGCAGGACACACGCAGGCTCAGCATGAAGGAATAAAAGTGGCTAGGATCTTGTGGACTGGAGGTTTGAATTCTGAGTAGCTCATGCTCTCGAGGGTGACTGAAGAATTTGTATTTGAAAGTCTAAGCTCTTAGAAGCATGAGGTGATAACATCTAAGAAGGCCAGGTAAGGGCAGATGAGGAAACTGCAGACTTACTTGGAAAAACCTGAGTCTCAGGTCTGAAGTAACAGAGAGTGATGGGCACCTCATGTTGTGAGGGAGCCTTGCCTGTGCATTTCCACCTGGCACACTAGGTGACAGCAAGATCACAGTAGCAGGAACTAGACAAAAGGTACTAGTAGGAGAGGAGAGGATGTGGAACCACTTATGGCTTGAAATGGACTGCAGGATCTTACAAAAGGAACATGGTGGTTTGGAGCCCACAGGCCCTTTTGCACATTTCTAGAATGGTGTATGCCTTAGGATTCCTGAATTTAATACAAACATGGCGTGTGATCCCCATTTTTAATGACTGGTACTTGATATCTCACAAATCCTGGTATGTGGAAATAATTCTAGATTTAATTTCTTTTGGATAAGTAAATGTAACTTTCCTGCACTCCAGATCATGGCACCAATTCATATTATTTATAGATGCTTGAAATGCACCTGGTGCTGCTTCTAAGAACCATAATCTGTACCAGGCAGCCCTGCCTTCTTCCCACCTCAGGGGACTGCACAAGCAGTCAAGCAGGGCCAACCTGGGCCAATTAGATTCTCTTGCCTGCAACAATGTGAATTAAAGAGACTTAGGAAAGTTTCTGAGAACAATGGGAACAGAGCCAAGAGGTCATGGAGAATAGGGACCAGAGTTAGTGGGAGGGGAGCCTGGGAGCGATTGGAAGAGGCCTGTCAGTATAGAGAGGGAGGACAACAGAACATACAGGAAATGGAAGCAGAAACATTAAGTTTCCTGCACCTAGCAAACCCAACAACTATTATTACTTAAGAGTCAAATGCACAGCTACATCTGTTTGCACCATAGCCTGATGCTTTTCTCACAACTATCTAGTAACCAGTCTGATTCTTTTGACCACTGCCTATGGTTCTGATTTGGCAGATGATGTGATTATTTGCTTAAAACTGCCCATCTTAAGAAAACACAGCAAATACTTAAAAAGCTAAACACTGATCTACCTTTTGATCCAGCAATACCACTCTTGGGGATATATCCAAAAGACTGTGACACAGGTTACTCCAGAGGCACCTGCACACCCATGTTTATTGCGGCACTATTCACAATAGCCAAGTTATGGAAACAGCCAAGATGCCTCATTACTGATGAATGCATTAAGAAAATGTGGTATTTATACACAATGGAATTTTATGCAGCCATGAAGAAGAATGAAATGTTATCATTCGCTGGTAAATGGATGGAATTGGAGAACATCATTCTGAGTGAGGTTAGCCTGGCCCAAAAGATCAAAAATCGTATGTTCTCCCTCATATGTGGACATTAGATCAAGGGCAAACACAACAAGGGGATTGGACTTTGAGCACATGATAAAAGCAAGAGCACACAAGGGAGGGGTGAGGATAGGTAAGACACCTAAAAAGCTAGATAGCATTTGTTGCCCTTAACGCAGAGAAACTAAAGCAGATACTTAAAAGCAACTGAGGCCAATAGGAAAAAGGGACCAGGAACTAGAGAAAAGGTGAGATCAAAAAGAATTAACCTAGAAGGTAACACACATGCACAGGAAATTAATGTGAGTCAACTCTCTGTATAGCTGTCCTTATCTCAACCAGCAAAAACACTTGTTCCTTCCTATTATTGCTTATACTCTCTCTTCAACAAAATTAGAGATAAGGGCAAAATAGTTTCTGCCGGGTATTGAGGGGTTGGGGAGGAGAGGGAGGGGGCGGAGTGGGTGGTAAGGGAGGGGGTGGGGGCAGGGGGGAGAACTGACCCAAGCCTTATATGCACATATGAATAATAAAAAAAAAGAAAACACAGCAACAGTTAATAACCAAAACAAAGTTCTGTCAGTTCTGCAACTGCAATTACTTTAGACTCTTTGCATTCCCAGATCATCTCGTAAAAATGATTCCACATGAGCACAATCTAATCTAAATGTGGGCTCCATTTTGCACTCGACACTGTGCATGCTAATTTCTTGCAGTTCCAGAGAAATTAGCTGGGAGCAAGTTACAGGACCAATTTAAATAGTGCTGTGTTAAAAAACACGGACTCCTTCAATGAACTTGATTTTCAGGCTTAGCCTCCAAATACTCAAAGTTACATCCTGGCTACACCATATTTTCCCAAATTACTACATTAATTTCATTGTAGTGTTTTTCTATTCCTGCAAAATATAAGAGTTAAGTGTCAGAGTTTTACTAAGAGTCTGAGGGAAGATATGCAAAAAAATCTTACATTTAATATTCTATTTTTTAGAACCAGTATCTATTTTTAGAGATGAGATGAGATGAGATGAGAGAGAAAGAGAAAGAAAGAAAAGAAGCCCTGCCTTCAACCCACACCAAAGAGAGAGAATAGTTTTGGGGGGGCTTATTAGTATTCAAATATAAAAGCCTCTTTTGGCCTGACATTGTATAAAGCTTAGTTGTCTCTTTATCCTCTATCCCTCCCTTACCACTGGTGTTTTTTTGGCTGAAAGTTTGGCCCATAATTTAACAAAGTAGTTTCTGTTCGTAGAATCCAGGAAATCACCCACATCCACAGCAACAGACTTCTTAGGATGTCCTTCAGATATTAGATGAGATGTAGTAACATCTAGTGGAAAAAACAATAAAATTTAAAACAAAAGGGATAAAAGAGGGTAAGAGAACTTCCTGAGGTGATAGAAATGTTTAATAGCTTTTATTGGTCAAACACAAGAAATTATATAGTCTGTGCATTTTAACTTGAAAATAAAGCAAATAAAAATATATACTAAAATAAAATCATAATTAATATTCATAATAAAGTTATCACATAACACCTAGAAGACATATCCTAGTAGTATACCTAGTATTTAATCAATACAGGTTTATGAATGGAGCAAAAGGATATAAAACATGTCAAAAACAATGGCTTCTAAATGCTTAATTGAAAGAGTTTCTTTCCATTTGACAAATTCTTCTAAAAGGCTAAAAGGAAAATCAAACATGCAATGCTAAGAAGAAACTTTGAATAGAATGGAATAAATGAAGTTACTGTTTAGCAGAATTTATTACAAAAAAATCTTTTTTTTTTCCATGGTACTGGGGCTTGAATTCAGGGCCTACACCTTGAACCATTCCACCAGTCCTTTTTTGTGATGGGTTTTTTTTGAGATATTGTCTGGGCTGGCTTTGAAACACAATCTTCCTGATCTCTGCCTCCTGGGTAGCCAGGATTACAGGCATGAGCCACCAGCACCTGGCTAAAAAATCTTTAACATATTCTCTTTTTGAATTTTATTACTTTATTTTATTTTAGACAAGGTCTCACTATGTAGTTTAGGCTGTCTGGCCCAAGACTGGCCTTGAACTCACAATCTTCCTGCCTCAGAGTCCCAAGTGCTGGGATTAACAGGCATTTACCACCATGTCTGGCACATATCCTTTATAAAACATAAAGAGAGATCCAGAGATTTAGAATATAAAATATAAATTTCTATTAGTGTTCTTCCATAGAGGACCCAGATATAAAAACATTTAGAGAGATAGGATCATCAACACTTTCAGGAGCACTGCTTTTAAAATGCCTAAATAAATAATTTCCACATGCACCTTAGTCAATATGACTGATTAAGCAGATGTGGAAAGCTACCCTAATTCAAAGGCAAAAAAAATTAATGTACAGCAATTTGCTTTATTTTTAATACCTAGCCAGGCTGAAACCAAGAAAGAAAAATTTCTAGGTACAATAAGTGAAATGAAGACTCCAAGTCAGAGGAGTGGGAGTCAATGTCAAGAGGTCAGAGATACCAGGGCTGAGGCTTAGACACCTAGACTGAGAGGGGAGACAGATTACAGTGCCTTTGAGCCTGGCAGGCAAGACCTGGGCTTTTTGATAAGGTGAGAAGGTACAAAAGTGGTATCTGATGTACCACTACTGTTAAACTTAACATGACTTGTGAGGATTACATTTTAATGTTGGAGACAGAGAAATAATACATTAAAAATGTCAGGTTATGAGAAGTGCTATGAAGCTGAGTAAGGGGAAAGAAGATAGCATGGCAGTCAAAATATGTCCTGGGTAAGGTGGTGGTAACTGAACAGAAATTTAAAACATGAAGAAGGAAAGTATTCAATTATCTGGTGGGACTGGGGAGAATGAACATCAAGAGCCAGATGTAAGGACTTTGACTGAGCACAGTGTCACTCGGACTGAGTCTAGAAACACCTATAGGAAATAAGACCTATATCTCTGTGCTGTGTGCTGATATGGAATCTGAACTTGACTTCCTATGAAATTGTACAACAATTGCAAACCAGTAACATAAGATGAAAGTTGTTGCAGAAAAGTGAAAGTATTTACTAATGTTAGGGAGGTCTAAAGCTCTACAACCCAGCACCTGTCTTGAGAGCAGGAAAGAAAGTCAACAGATACAACATATGGTCAAGACATGTATTCAAGGAATTGTATGTAACACAGCAAAGTAATATTGAAGTACCCGTGTTTAGTACTACCAAAGTGACTAAAGGAGACAACTGTGTGTGGAACATTCTTTGTTATATTCATAATAAAAAGTCATGTTTGTTGAGCACCTATTATGTACTGGATGTTGCTCTAGAAGTTGGGGATGTAGCAAAAGACAAAAAGCTCTTGACTTGTGAGGATTATATTCTAATGCTGGAGACAGAGAAATAATGCATTAAAAATGTCAGTGAGAAGTGCTATGAAGCTAGGTAAGGGGACAGAAGATAGCACGGTGGTCAAAAGAAGTCCTGGGTAAGGTGGTGGTATCTAAACAGAAATTTAAAAACATGAAGAAGAAAGTATTCAAATATCTGGTGGAGATGGGGAGAATGAACATCAAGAGCCAGAAACATGCTTAATGTGACTGTATCACTGCTGAAAACTCACTGTAGCTGAAGAGAGAGAGACAGTAGATTCTGTGATCTATTCTTACTTTTTAGAAAACACTTGTCCTATTGAACAGAGCATTATGAAAAAGACCATATGAATCTGAACAAATTGAAATGAAACAAAAATTACAAGGCTATATCCACTGAAATAATTTCCATAGAAAAGATCATATATATAAATATATTTACACATACAATCTTTCAAAATATAGTTTTGTGGCAGTGTTCTTTTTTCTAGCATTCCAAGACATAAGCCATCTGTACTGTGGTGTAAACGAACCAAATCCAACATGATACAATGCAACTACAATTCCAAACCACTGCAATGTCTTCATGGTTTCTTGGAAACAAACATTTTGGGTGAAGACAATGTGTTTATATTACTATTAAACTACATTATAATGCTATCACTTTAATAACATCAACTCTTATAATGGTTTCATATAGTTCTTAACCTAGTTTAATGGACTACGATGCAACAATGGACAGTAAAGACACTCTATTGGCCCAAAACATGACACTGATGACTTTTCAATATGAAACTTTTTAAACATTTAAATAAAACCTTGCAAAACATGTACCCACACTACAGTTTATCTCTCTTTGAAAGAACTTAAAAATGGATACTTAGAAAATAGGCTCTAATTTTTAGACAAAATTCCTCAGATAGCTAGATGGCTTCAGAATCATCTATTTTTCCCCAGTCAAATGAGGCATTTAAAAATATTCAGTGAGCTTTTTTAAACAAATAAGACTATTTATACCTACCGTGATTAAATGTATATATGATATAAACTATAAATTCCTACAAAAGAGTCTCCATTCTGAAATATGAAACCATGAAAAGGGTTTAAAACAAATTAAAACACAATAATCTACTACAGAATTTTAAATATTTATTTTTAATAGAATAGTTATACAATTTGTTGTGGAAAATAAAGGGAAAAAATTAGTTCATTACAAAGTGCCATCGCAAAACTGAGGGTACCAAAATAAAACTATTTTCTAACAGAATTGCATCTTAAAAGTCTCGCCTATTTGTGCTTCTAAGAAAGGAATAATAGCAACTAGAAAAATAATAACTTCACATAGCAACCATGATAATTTTCCATAGCAAAATAAGCTTTTACAGTAGAAAGCTTTAAGTCCAAGGAAATGGAGTAATGATATTCATGTTTCTATGGTAAAATGAGTACATTTATTAAACTATTCTAACAATGGAGTGCTATACTCTTCAGTGTCCAATCAAAGGAATAATCAGGTATGCAAACAGAAACAAATTCCACACCAAGAAAAAGGAAAGGATGTGAAAATATAGTCACACACAGAGAAAATGAGGCACAAAAACATTTCTTCCTACAAGACTTCATCCTTTGTAAATGCTTTCAGTAGAACTGAACTGATGGACCAACATTTGGACATTGCATCCAAAATGTTCCAATTAAAACTTATAACAATACCCAGAAATTTTTTCAATGGGTAAGCTTATCACAAAATAGTTGATATGTTGGAGTGAAAAGTTGTTATATAAGATCTGTATTATCTAGAAAAATGGGGAAAGGATAGCAATGACTGGTAAGAAAGGACATAGAAAACTTCAGAAACTTCAATGCACATTTAAAGTTTCCTCTCCATTGACAAATACATTTGAGTAACTGTATTTCTGATGTGACTTCCACTCAACCCCACATTGTCACCTGTACAACTGTGGTGTTTGCTTGCTAAGGGTTTGTCTTTTTTTTACTCAATTGACTCTCTTGTCTCAGCTTCCTAAGTAGCTGGGACTAAAGGTGCCTAACACCATGCCTGGCTAGGATGCATCCTTGAAGAACTTTTTCAAAAACCTTATTTCATCGATCACTTTCTCCAGCAAAGACTTTTTGTTTTTCTTCACTTTTCTTTTCTATTTTTGTTCCTGGAAATTCAGGGTTATTAGATATGGGAGTTTTAAAAGCCAGTCTTTGTCTCAACCCATCACAAAGAGAAAACAAAATGTCTACTATCTGGACAAATAACTTGACAGCAATTACTCTTTAACCAATGGAAAACCCAGAATGTACCCAACCTTGATTTTATCAGTGATGAAATAATAACAGTAAAAACAATACATAGCATTTATTGAGCATGTACTATGTGCCAGGTATCATTCCAAGTGTTTGGTATGGGTATCGCTAGGAAATTCAGTCACTTTGGAATTGATGCTTTCCTATTCTTGTCCAAGCTGTAGGGCTACCTGTGAACACCTGTTGAAGAACCTCTTATCTTAGGAACAGTATACCGAACCACCATTTCTTTCTGATATCATTCTGATTTTGTGTGAGCTCCTTAATTCAATTGAGGCTGTTCAAGGTTGTACAGGGATTTTCAGAAAAGTCCATTTCATTTATCAAACATTTCTACCTAGTTTGAACATATACATTGTCCTCTTCCAATTCATGATAAAATGCAAAAATTGTTTGCTGCTTACATGGTAATACTAAGTAACATTCATCCAAGCAGGCATTTTTTAGGTGATTTTCAATATGCTAATTCATTTAATCCTTACAGAAACCTTGTGGTAGGTATTATTATTTCCATTTTATACGAGAACTTTGTACCTTGCCTAAATTCACATGGCTAGATTGTAGAGGAACTGGAGTTTCAAAGGATTGTTTTGACATTTAGTGTTATTTGCAATTATGAATTTCTAAGGTTACAATCTTTAAGAGAAGGTCATCA